AAGGGTCCTTCTAATGGTAATTCTAAGTTAATTTCAATATCCCAACATCTTATTAACATGGGTAAACCCTCCATATCATTAGATATTCGTTTGGGGCATCATTGTTGAGAGAAAAAACTCTAGAACTCGAATTCAAAAAAGATTGAACGTCAAAAAGGTAATGTCTTCACCCTCTAATTGATTTTAGCATTGGATTAATGATTATTGACTCAAGTTCATGAGATATGAGTTGATGGGTTTGATAGAAAAATATGAACAATTATAGGTTTGGCTTGTTGATTATTGGTTAAGGGTGTTGTTTACCTTAAGGGTGATAAAGAATAATGTTGATTATAACCATTTGAGACTTTAGAATTTATTTAGGAGCAAGAGAATGGGTTATGGGGTATAGAAACACCATTAATAAGGACTATGAAGCTTTATGCCACCAAGTGTTTGAGAAAATGCCTAAGTGACCAAAACATGAGTATTATTGCTAATATGGAATCCCTTTGACTTATATTGATATAGATTAAAGTTGAAAGGGTTGGTGAATGTTGTATTACGCTCAAGAGCAGGAAGTTAAGGTATGTGAGGCTAACTCTCTATGTTTGGGAATGTTAATGATTCTCCCTACACTACATTTCTTTGATGACGTTACTAATTGCCTCAAAAATATAGTTAAGCCTAGTTCCTTGAATGGTTGTAGAATTTCTATTCTCTAGCTTCATAACTCGCTCATGACTTTCATTCTGAACGTTGTGAGCTCAGTGTGTATTCAATATAGACTTGGGTTTGATGCCCCCGAGTCTTAGTATAGATTACTCAGTATGTCATATACAGTTGAAATTTCAGTATTCATAATCAGTTCAAGAATTCATGTCTCAGTCTAGTCCCATTCAGTATGTCAGTATTATGTAACCAAGTATGATCCAGTATTCCAGTATCATGTAACTCAATGTGATTCAGTATTTCACTATCAGTTATTGCAGTATGATTCTCAATTTCTGATTTTAAATTCCTGAATGTTGAACACTTGTACTTGGGCCTGAGGCCGTAGTTTATGCTTTATGCATGTTTTGGCATGAGGTCGTAGTTTATGCTTTATGCATTTTTGGGCCTGAGGCCGTAGTTTATGCTTTATGCATTTTTGGGCCTGAGGCCGTAGTTATATATACGTATACTTGGGCCTAAGATCGTAGCTTGTGCACATATATATTGGGCCCGAGGCCATAGCTTATTCAGATAAACAGGTTGTTCATCATTTAGAAGAGGGAGTATTCATATCCTTACTTCCTTTGTTCAGTTTCAGTTATCAGTTATCATTTTAGTTACCAGCTATTATTTCAGTTACCAGTTATCAATTCAGTTACCAGTTATTAGTTCAGTTATCAGTTATCAGTTCAATTATTAGTTATCAACTATTATTTCAGTTTTAGTTTTAATAATTATCATTTTAGTTATCAATTATCAATTCTCAGTTATCAGCTTAGTTGCAGTTTCAGCATTTATAATTCTTTCTTTCAGTTGCTTTACATACCAGTGCAATTCAAATGTACTGACGTCCCTTTTACCCGGGGTCTGCATCTCACGATACAGGTAATAATTTACAAGTTGACGATTCAGAGCGCTAGGATTCTCGTACCAGCTATTTGGTGATCCCCAGTTCTTTCGGGGCATTATCATTACTTTACAGTCTTTCAGTGTTTACAGATAGACAGTGTTTTCAGTACTTTAATAGAGACTTCATAGATTAGAGTAACAGTTAGACAGAGTCTTAGACTTTTCATGTTAAGCCATGTTGGTTGCAAATATGTTTCAGAATTGTATTAGCATTTTTGCACTTTGATTTGTATCATCCAGACTTTCAGTATATCAGAATGTGTTAGTTTATCTTTCGCATTTAGTATGTTATGATATCACATGTTGATTCAGCCAGCCAGTTGGTTCGTTCGGTCACATGTAGTCAGGCACCGATTGCCGTGTTACGTCCAGGCTCAGGTTCG